AAGGGTGTATCATTTTATTCGTGAAATAATCATATGTGTTAGTCTTAATCCGTAACACGGATTTTCAAAATCATTTGTGGCATATGCAATTGTAAACACTTCACATGAATTCAACGGAATCATAGTTCAAAACAAGCTTTACTAAAGACACTTCATAATACTTCATATTTCATGGTTCACGACTCAACACATCTTAAACTCCATGAAAACAATTTAAAATGTCATAACAAAACAAGAACAAAATAGTTTTTAAAACAAAGTGTTTCCCGTCCCCAATGTTACATATCAGAGCAAGACCTTCTAGACTCAACAAAAATAAATCATGCTTCAAATATATTCTTCCAAGCCTTTAGGAACTACTCCCGATTACCTGCATGTTACCCATGTAGAGGCAACATTCAAGCAGAAAGGGTGAGTAAATCATAATAATTATAAAAGACATAAGGAACAAACATAGCATAATAAACCAAAAGTATCACAACATAAACTCAACACTATTATATTCCAATTACATCAACAATCATACAAATTCCACAACACAACAACACATCATCAATTCAAGAACCATGCAATTCCACATAGGATGTAGTGCAAGGACAAAGACTCATGCATGTGGTACCAATTCATTTGATGGACACTGGGCCATCACCCTCCAAAGACCCAAATTATAGGATCGATCCCCACTTGGAACCGGAGCAAATCATAGACATCCCAAATCCATACAACATGGGATTGAGACCAAATCACTGGACCGAAGTCCTAAATCATCAAAACCAAATCACTGGACCAGCGTCCTAAATTATCAAAATGGACCAAAGTTGTCCCATGAATGTATGATGCGCAACAATAAATATAAACGACCAGCTCTAGTCAACACACATCATCATTCATGTATTAATCAACATCATCACATAAACATCATCACATAAACATCATCATGTATACTCATATAATCATCATGTATACTCATGTAATCAAGGCATCGTTAGAACATTATCACGTAATCATAATAACAACGCATCATCATAGTTAAATATATCGTCATTATGATTTAACATGGGGAAACTATTATTACTCTAGCTTAGTTCTTATACAGATACCCCTAAGTCTTCATTTTATTTCACCTGACTATAGTATACTACGTTAGCTACACACAACTTCGAACAACACTTCATTTTAAGCTCTAGAACTAAAGTTATACTTGTTTCAATATTTCAATCCAACATTCAAGTCCTGTCTCCCATCGCCCGGCGAAACCCATCCATCGCCCAGCGACACATCACAAAGACCAACACCCCATTTTCCTTCCTTGGCTCGCCCCGCCTTCTCCTGGCAACGACATAGAAAAGCTTCATCGCCTGACAACACCACCTCCGTCGCCCGGCGATGCACACCAGGTAGCAACTTTCTGTTGTGATCCTGCACTTGTTCAGTCCCAGATACTCTTGCGACCTTACACCAAAACAATCACAATCCTCATAGTTTTTAATATAGAATCACTATACAATAACTACACAATATTATAAACATTATATACACCAACTCATGACAATTCAACATAGTACTTTCGTCAATTTCAACACGAGTTCTTCACAATACAACATATCACCAAAACCATCATAAAATCACCACAATAGCATGTATTATATTCGCACACACATATTACCAAATTTTCATCATGAATCACATCATTTATGTCACAACAACATCATTAACAAATCACCACGGTAAAACATCATAATCAACATCATGTTTATCATTAAAATAACACATCATGGTATAGCAACATGTAATAAATAAATCTCATAAATATATAGATACTGGAATCATACATCAAAACACTCATATAATTCAATCATAATATAGTTCATCATATTAGCTTTCTAAAGCTTCATACGGCACATCAATCGGACTCCTGAAACTCAAGTTATGGTATTTTTAAGAAAATTAGACAGCCATTCAATTCTGCCACCCGTCGCCCGGCTCCACCTTAGCGTCGCTCGGTGATGCGTCACTTTTGTGTTTCCTTTGCATCGCCTGGCGCTGTGTCGCAGACAACACTTCTCCTCCTGTGATTTTTCACCATTGGAGGCCTTTCGGTACTCCGAATTCGATTCCGTAAAAAGTCCCGGTTTCAGAATTCGAAATCCTATGTTTATACAACATTCTTAACATCCTATAACACTTATTTAAAGGTCCTAACATCACACATTCATCAAGGATTCATTCCTCCATTCATTCAATGCATGATTTTCATCAATTTTATCAATCTTTATCCCAAAATCATCACACAAAACACAATCCTACAATTATATAAACCTTAGATCGATTATAATAACAATGATAAACACCCCTTACCTTATAAATTGTTGCTAGATTCCAAATCCTCTTTGCAACCTACCATTCCTCTTTGCTTCTCCATGCCCTATATTTTCTCCTCTCAGTGTATGTTGTAATACCCCAAATTTGTCCGACCCCTTTATGTGATCATATGGCTTACGCATCATCATATACATACCTTCCATTAGGTCAGTTAACATTGCATACATTCATTAACAACATAACTTGACAGGGGATCGAGAATCTTCAAGGAACTAGGGTTTCACTGGTGCACTATGGGTTCATTTGTGGATTAGGGTTTTCTCACCTCTTGCAGGGCCAACTCAATTAAATAGGCAATGGCCATGATTAGGGTTTCTAACCCTATACTCAAGGTCATGTGATAAAGGCTCAAGGCTTGGATACATGTAATATGAAGCTTTTCTTCTTAAAAATTCTTTGGAATCCTTCAAACAAGAGAGGGTTTATGTCGTTTATGACACAAAATATCTACAAGTATCATCCAAAATGGCTATCAGCTTATGCATTAAGAGTTATTTCCTAATACATGGTATACCCACATGAATTAGGGTTCGTTTGTGATGTTATAGTTATCAGGAGGGGATATTATCCATGGCTAGCCAGGGTTCTAACGATTGTTCTTCATCAAAGGAGGCTCAATTGTCACTCGAATCTCAAGACATGGGGTCTTGGTTTTCATGCAATAGAGGAAGAGGGTTTCATTTGGTTTTTCTTCACAAATTCAGGTTTTAATCACTCTCAGGTGGAAGAAGTCATAGATTGGACCGTCTTTTTATTAAGACATCAAGAGAGGGTTGACTTTTGTTGCTCATTCCCCATTAATATTCGACCATTGTTACATTAGTGGAAGCATACATGGGATGGGACTTTGTGGAATTATTAAAGCATTACAGAAAGAAAATTGAATTTCAAATTTGAAAAGGAGGGAAACCATTTATTCCATATTAATTGGTTGACAAAGTCAATACCAAAATCAGAAGTGCACTCAAATTTACAAGATTTCAAGTTGTCATTCCATTACACTTTGAAAAAATACACAAATTACCATATAAAGAAAACTATATGAAAGCATATTTTTTCTAATCAAAATGTCTAGACACAAACTCCATGATTCAATCTCAATATTCTTCAAGATCATTCATCATGACCTTTATAACTTCAATGCCAAAACTATGACATGATCATCAATATTTACACCATGCCTTCAATCATTTCATTAAATAACCTTGCATAATCAAGAACAGATCAACAACTACATATGTACGACAACCCTGCACTAAAACGAAACAATCATCACCTAGAATCTTCATCGACAAACTAACCCCGCATTAAATCCACCTAAAACCTGTATCATTGAAACATGAAATTAACAAAGAAATTCAACCACAATAAACTCAGATAGCATATCATGCCCCTGCACTTAAGCTCAGGCCAACAACAAATCTGTAACAAAGTCAAAACCTACTATCCCGACATATCAGATTTGTATTCACTAATCCAAACAAAATAAAAATCCAATCCATAAATTTTGTTCAATAAATCGGTCAGCATAAAAAGAAAGCAAAACGAAAATAGTTCAAGTTGGATGCCCTGATACAATATCAAAACTAGTTCACCAAAACATCACAAAAACACCACTATACATCAGTTCAAGTAGAAATATTAGAAAATGAGAAACTCATAACAAAAATCCTACAACTAACCCTAATCGATTCTCTCATTGTATAACTAACTTCTAATTGTTTCTGAACTCATCTTAACTACACATAACCGCCAATCTTTAACCAAAACCATAACAGAATACTTACAACAACAAAATGAAGTAAAACAGAATTCTAACTGCCATAACTAACTCCCCAACTTCTAACCATTTTCTCCAAACAGAATTTCCAAATAGGATTCTAACTATCCTCATCAAGCTCCTAATTAACTGTAACTAACCTATAACCAACGTCTAGCTGACTTCCCAACCTTCCAACAGAATTAACTGAAAACCAATAACCCTTAACTAACTAGCATAATTTTGTAACTAACTTTCTAACCATTTCTAACCAATTCCCCAATATTCTAACTGTCCATAACACCTTCTAACTTAAATTTTTAACCGACAATAAGAGAAAATAGAGCACCCCAAAAACTAACTCACCAATTGTCAAAACAGAATCACAAACAAGTTCTAACCAACTTCATAACCGATTTTCAACCTCTCTAACTGCTCACTTTTCACCCTACGATCAATAACAGAATTGATTCAATACTAGGGCTGAGTTTGTTTCATCTCCAACTGAATTCCTCACTTCCCCAACATCTATATAATCTACACACATCATTCAAACCCTCTCCACCATTTTTTCCAGTTTCACATGCACCATTTTTCCATACTTTCTCCAATTTTCCCTCTGAATTCATCATCTTCTTCACTCTCTCCCTCTGAAACTTAGCTTCCTCAATCTAAGCCTCACTCCAAACTAAATCAGATCCAGACTTGGAGTCTATATAAATCAGTTCCCTCCCAATTCTCAGCTACAGGATTCATTTCTACATAAATCACCAAGAACTCTCTCATTTTCCCTGCACTTTCTCTCTCTCTCTCTCTCTCTCTCTGAAATTCTTCATAACCTTCACATACGCACTTTTCTCTATTCCATTTTCACTCCACCTTCATCCTCTCTCAATTCTTCACCTCTCTTCCTCATCTTCTCTGTAACTTCTCCCCCAGATTTCACCATTTGAAGCTCTAAGAGGTTGAGCTTAGACTCCTCCCTGCTCTTAACTCTCCATAATTTCTGAAGCTTGTGTGTAACATCCAGCAACCATAATGACACGGTGCAAACACATAAGTCGAAACACACAAAAGGCATCCAAAGAGAAGAGTAGAAGAAGCAGAATTGAATCTAGAGAAAAAAATACTAAAGCAAGAGGTTATCGGAAGAAGACGGAAAGCGTGAAATACCTGAAAGTTCATAATTTCTTCAACATCGCCCTTCAATTTGAAGAACCACCAGAGGTACTCCAGGAGGTAATCCTCAATCTCTATCCAGTCTTTATACGTTCTTTATATTCGCCTCTCCTCCGCATACGTAATTAGATATAGGGCCTGGTTTCATCTCGGTTTTGAGTTGTTTGTGCAGAGTAAGTAGATCGGAGTGTCAGATATAAGGGGTTGGAGCCGATGAGAGGGTGGGCAGAGGAAGGTTAAGTTGAAGCCACTGCTGTGTTGAGAAGAGAGATGAACAGACGGTGAGATGAGGCTGGGGTGAGGTCTCTCATGGTGTCTTGTGGTGGCTTGAATGTATACGCAATGACGATGAGTTCAAGGAGAATAGATGTGAATTTGCAGCGGCAATCTCGCCTGGGAAGAGAAGGAATATATTCCTCTGTCTCAGTTGAAGTCTGAGGGTCATACATTGTAATCTTAGTGCTATACAACGATGTCGTTTTATCTGATTTCATTTTCCCCCCAATTGATAAAAAATCTGAATACATTGGTGATGGATTGGGCTTGTTGTTTCTTGGGTCGGATTCTATCCTAGGCTAGGTCGGTTCATCTTGTGGTTTTGACATTGAAAGGCCTTGCAAACAGAAGACTATTACTGGACCGTTTGTATCTTCTCTTGGTCCGTTTGATCTGTTTTTTGGGGCTGGTTGCTTGGACAAAAAACCAGCTTATTGGACCATTCCCTTTGGGCATGCGCCATTGTTACTTCAGCAAACACCCTAATTGCAGCTCCACACCCCATCTGACTTTAGAAGTTTCATAATTTCCCTTGATTTTCTTTCCTTTTCTTTTTTTTTAATTTTGTCAATAAAAATACATAATAACAACATAAAAAAAATATTAGATTTTAGGAATTAAATAGGAATTAATTTCCCCCTTTGCTAACTTTTTTGTGAATTTTAATCATTAGTTTATTCATTTTATGTCATGTATTCGTTTGTGACTTTTTGGTATTTTTGGTATGGATTGTATGCAATACTTTAATATTTGTTGCCTGATTTTACTTGTTTGTATGTTCTTTCATGATCCTTTGGGTGACTTTGGTTCAAATTTAATCTTCGATTTAATTGAACTAAAATTAGACATTAGGCTTTTAAATCCAAGCATGCAAACATTAGGTAGAATTCCCTCGAAATTCTAACTTTAGGTCCATGATGCATAATAACATTAGTTTTAGAAATAGGCTAGCCTCCCGTTGACTTTTCTTTCTCCTTTTGCATTTGCATTAAAACAAAAACTTCTTTTTCCTTCCAAATTCCAAAACACTTTAAAATTACTGATGAGAATCATACTTCTGTTGAGTATGGGAGATGATAAACGGGTGTCTTCTTGATCTTATTGTTCTTTTATCTCAGGCCTAGGTGTGGTTCAAGTCTCAAAGACTCCTTTTGTAGATAAGTGGAAAAGTGGCTAATATCTCTCTCTTGAGGTCAACTAGTCATTATCTGCAACAAAATACAAACCAATTCAAACTTTTTTTGTGCGCTCAAGCACCTTTTCTCTAAAACCCTTTTCAGGTAAGGACATGATTAATTTACTTCTGTGCCAACGCATAAGTCTCCAAAGGTCGAGCTGCGGTAGATGGCGGAATTAACATTGTCCATAAAAAACACAAAACAAACGAAAACATGTAATCCGAACTACTGTAACTCAAATTCCTCAAAAAGGATAAGTAGGCATTGGGGTAGGGCCCAAGCAAGTACAACTTTATGTTCCCTACATTCTTTTCTCTTTCTTTTGCTTGCATTATTCCTCAGTAGTAACAAGAGTGGATACCGTAGAGTACTACGAGCGTGTGGGGTGCTAATACCTTCCCCTCGTGTAACAGACTCCCTTAACCGATATCTCGGTCACAAGACCGTGACTTCTCCCTTCTCATTATTTCTCGATGTTTACCTTTCCCTCCATATTGGATAAAAGACGTTTGATGGCGACTTCATTGTTTGATGATTTTCAGTTGGTTGTTTCAACCAGCGACTTCACTGGGGAAAGGTCGATCAATTACTGGTCCATCCCGAAGTCGCTCCTAGCTCTTGTTTCTTTTCCTTGGGTGTTTATTTTTATTCTTTATGTTTATTCATTTATATATGTTTACCTGAGCATATGTATGCATTGCATTTTACTGTTTTCCATATACTACTGCTGTAATGGATCTGTTTCTTGATTGGGTTGGGATGTTACTATTGAGGTAAAAGGCCCAGTACCCAGACCAGAGTACACTAAGACACTAGGAATAGAGTAGGGGCATGACGGATATAGGATGTGGTCCGACTAGTGCAGTAATGTCATATACCACGCTCGGATGAGGTTCAATTGGAGGTATTTTCATCATACACGTCTGTGATGCGATGATTTTACTTTCAAGCAAACCCGTGATTTTCGAGTTACCCTTGCCTTACCCTGACCTAGTTTTCACCTGTGAGTGGGGCGGGAATATTTTATCACAGGTAGAGATGGTGACTATGTTCAGATGGTTACTCATGTTCAGATAGTGATAATGATCAGATAATGACTATTGGTTCTAATGATTATGTTATGGATTTCTGTCAGTGATCATGAGGTTCTCATATTTATTTTGAGTTCCGAATCTGATGTTCATGAGGTTCTTCCGATTATGTTTCAAACCTGTGAACCTGGTACTTACAGACTATGTAGAGACAGTACAATAGAAATCAGTATCATGGAAGTAGTAACCCCATGATCACTTGCACTTACATCATAGCATGTTTATTTTTCAAAAAGAAATGTCAAAAAAACGAAACTATATACTAACCTTGCATATTCATGTCCATCCCAGGGTACCTCACAAAGTTATGGTTTCCATCAGTAATGTCTAGCAACAGTGTTGTTCTCAATAAGACCAAAAGAGACAATTGTACTTATCAGTGTTGCTCAAGTTTTTCGCCCAAGTTCTTGGCCTTCTTTGAAGAATTTAAAAGACTGTTTAGTCCGTCCTAATATAGAGGCCTTTAAGTGAAAGACATGGTAGCACTTTGACTATATTTCAGTTATACAGCTACGAGTTTAACTATTTCACCTTCCAAGACCATCAAATCACTCCAACTTCGAAAGAGTACTCTCATTTGTTCAAGATTACCAAGCATATTTGTTACTGTTCTGAACGAACCCGATTTTGAAGCTATTGCTAAGGCACTTTATTTGGGCCTTAGTGATGTGAGATAGAGATGGAAAAATAATGGTAGCATACCTTCAGACTGATTATTGTATTGTTATCTCAATTACCTCCAAGCTTTTTGGACGGAATCTCTTATATTGAAAAGATGTGAATGCAACACTAAGCCTAAGCCAGATAAAAGTACAATTAGGAGGGAAAATTTTGGGTGCAACACCTGCCCCTATTTAATCATCTTTAACCTGAAGGTGAGATTGGCTCTAGCCTTTCAAACTTTTAAGGTGGAAGAAGATTAAATACTAAAAGAACCTGAATATTTGCGCTCCGAAGAATAGGTAGGAACTTTTATGATTTTTTTGAATGCCTCCACTAACAAGCTTTGGTAGGTAATGGTCTGATTTTTTCGCATGATTTCCATAGAGGAAAAAGAAGTTATGTTTCCTATCTGCAAGGTAAACGAAATGTGGAAGGGATGCTTAACCCAGAGTACTCGCAAAAAGTGAATATGAACTCTGCTGGGAAATAAAACTTCTTGTGTAAAATGTAGAGAACAAAACATGGTGAAGATTCATGAATGAAAGACAACAGAAAATATGAACAGAAGTTGATCAAATGAAAGTCGAGGAATTATATGTGATAATCATCTCCAACTCAGGGTTACAAACTTGGGACTCGGTAGTTGGAGAAGAAATAAACTTACGAAATCATGACTCAGAAGTGGGAGAAGAAATATAATGACAAACTCACGACTCAAAAGTTGGAGAAGAAACACATCTGACAAACTTGTGACTCATAAGTCGGAGAGGAAAATAATCTGACAAACTCACAATTCAGGGATCGGAGAGGAAGTGTATCGACAAACTAACGAATCAGAAGTCAGAGAGGAAACAAAATTAACAAACTCATGACTCGGGATCAGAGAAGAAACACATTCACAAACTCACAATTCAGGGATCGTAGAAAAAACACATTGGCAAACTCGCGATTCAGGGATCAAAGAAGAAACACAAATGACAAACTCACGATTAAGGGATCATAGGAGAAGTGCATTTACAAACTCACAATTCAGAGACCATAGAAGAATCAAATTGGCAAACTTTCGACTCAGAAGTTGGAGAAGAAACAAACCTGACATACTCACGATTTAGGAATCGAAGAAGAAACAAAAGTGACAGACTCACGACTCAGAAGTCGGAGAAGAAACAAACTGGAAAACTCATGACTCAGAAGTCGAAGAGGAAAAGAATTAGTAAACTTATGACTTAGAAGTCAGAGAAGAAACAAATTGAAAAACTCTTGATTCAGGGATCAGAGAAGAAATAAATTGACAAACTTGCGACTCAGAAGTCAGAGAAGAAATAAATATGACATACTCACGATTTAGGAATCGGAGAAGAAACAAATCTGATAACTTGAGAGTTGAATGTATGCCAGACCGAGGGAATACATACAAATAGAAGAGACTAGCCGGAGGTAGACTCTTAACAAAGATGTCACGAATATATGTTCGGAGTTGGTAGAAAACATATAACAAAAGCATCACGAATACATGTTCGGAGTTGGTAGAAAACATATAACTAGAAAGAGGCTGGAGGAAGGGACTCTTTATAGAAGGATACCACAACTGTATGTTTGGAGTTGGTACCGAACATACGACAGAGACCAACCGAAGAAATCCATATCAAAGATGCCAACGATATATGTCCAGAGGAAATGACACATATGTCAGATATCGAATAAACATGCCCGAAGTTGGTAGAAGATATAAGGAAGATATTACGTACATACCAGGTAAAATTGGACATATACAAACAAGGAAGACACTGGCCGAAGAAGGCTCCAACAAGGAATGCTAACCGCAGATTGACTCTTGGAGAAAGGACACCGATTGAAGGCAAACTGGGGATAAAATATATGTGTCTGGTTAGAGTTAAACACATATAAGAAAGAGACCGACCGAAGTAGACTCTTAAAAAAGGATGTCTGCACAAAGGCAAATCAACAAGGAGGCTAAGCCGAAGGTAGACTCCTAAGAAATTAACACTGATCAAAGGAGAACTCCACAATGAAAAGAAGACTAGCCGAAAGTAGACTTTTAACAAAGATAATGGAGATATATGTCATGCCAGAGTTAGACATATACAAACAAGAGACCGACCGAAGAAGGCTCTAAAAATTCCAATCGAAGGCGAACTTACTGGGGATACAAATAGACATCGACTCTAAATAGAACGTCGATCAAAAGCGAACTTACAAAGAAAAGAGACCAGCCGAAGGGAACTCTAGACAAGGATTAACAACCTAAGTTGGGCTTTTAAGAGGGTATTTATGTTTGCAAAAGCACAATAACTACAT